ATAGCAGTGTAGACATTCCCACTTGAGCTGGAGACCCAGCGAGGGGGAAGGGTCTCAGAGCCCAGGCTCAAGCCCAAGTGGAAATGTCTTCACTGCTATTTTTAGCCATGCAGCACAAGTCCCACAAACGCAAGTCAGTTGACCTGGGCTCAGAGACTAGCCACCGCGGGGTGTTTTTTTGCAATGTAGAAGTATCTGAAATGACTGCCCAAAATCACACAGGAAGTCTGTGCTAGAGCAGGGAATTGAAACCAGAGTCACAAGCTAGCATCCAATACACTGAATCACCTTTTCTCTCTAGGCAAGCACAAAGCCAGTATGAGCCAAGGAAGTGTATGTCTGAGTGGGGAGCAGGAATGGGTGGAGTGCACTGCTCTCCAGCTATCCCCAGCAATGTAGGGTCCCATGGGGACCACTGCCAGCTGGCACATGTCAATCAGAGTAGTCCCCAGGCTGCTCTAACCTGGGCTGAAGTAAAGAACCAAGGAGTCACAACTGGTTCCTGGTTCTCTGGTGCTGCTGCAAGGGATGCTGGAGGAATGCTGTAATGGAGGAAATATGCTTTTCTTGGGTTAAGCAGGATATTTCAGCATTAGCACGAGAAGAGACTAAAACTATTTATCATTAATATAAACCACATGATGCCCCAAAGTTCTCAACCAAAGTTATCAACAAAACTAAGATGAAAGTTAATGTCACAATTCCATGCACTGAAACCTAATATTAAGTTCAGGGAATGCATTAGAAGGGAGCTCACAGATAAGACCTCAATAAGTAGGGTATTATTTCACATGTTAAACCCATCTTGAAGCACAATATAAAAGGACCAAGACTAAGAGTCCATCAGTGAACGTCCATCCATGCCTCAGTTTCTCTGAGTCAAAATTATTTATAGGATCTCTGTGGGTGAGGCAGGCTCCACTGCAAACTTTACTTAATTTTTACTCATTTGCCTTTTCTTTGTACTGTGTATTTTTTCCTTATTCCTGATCACAGAGTACATGAAATGTCACACACCTTACAATCTGGGATGAAAGAAAAGTTTAGAGTTTGATCTTGGTTGAGATCAGGTGCTTATTAAAGAAAACTTATTCATACCCCTAGAGTCAGCCAAATTTGGCTGGAACTCTGGCAAAAACAGCTTTTTCTGGCTGGATTTATTTATTTCCAGAAAATGGAAGTGGGAGGAAAAAAATCTACCAGAACATTTTAGCACCTCATTTTAACTTGTACTTGTTCCTAAAAGAGGGCACTTTGGGGGCAGAGAGCTATGTAATCCCATCCTCAATTAATTGCAATTCTTTTAAAGTTATGTTAAGTCATTGGGGGCACACTGGAGTCAGAGAGTTTTTAAATGTTTGACACATGGTCATATATTTACAGATACATCTATATCTAATGTTATTTTATATATGTATATATATAAATTAGGGACCAGACTCTAATCTCAGTTACAATGGGATAAATCTGGAGTAACTACTGAAATCAACAGAGTTACTCTAAGTTTACACTGGTGTAACTGAGATTAGAATCTAATGCAATGCAAAATAGGGAAGGGGCAGAAGAAAGCAAACATCAGCAGCAGATTTAGTCCCTTCCCCAACATAGGGGAATGGTCTTCATAACAATACTGAAGCTCTAAATTCTTGTGGCTAACTGTCTGAGTCATTTTCTTTCCACGCCACTTGGAACCCATTAATCAGGCCACTCCTCTGAGACTGTTTTTGGTGTTTTGTCTGTTTCTTTCTTAATAGCCAGTGCATGTACACATTATATATGTTACTTGCATGTACCATATGAGCTCTGTAACTCTGCTGGAGACAATGACACAACCTACCTGAGCAAAGTAAGTCATTGTCTGAAGTGTAACAGAAGCCATCAGAGCCTACGCTGATGTCCTGCCTAGATATCTCTTTGTGTTTTATTACCTAGCCATATTCATTTGCGGGGAGGGGATTGGGCTGATATAGGATTTTATTTGCATTTTATTTTTCAAAAACAGGGAAGATGTAACAGTGTCCTGACCCAGAGCAGGTGACATGAAGCTAGAAAATAAAGATCAGCCTCTTGTCATGTATGTATCGTCCTTCTAGGTATGTGAGCACTTTATATCACGCTCCCTTTGAAGGAACATAGTCCCTTTCTGAAGAATGGGACTCTATTATACACTCTTAACCAGAAGACCATGAAGGAATGATCCTGCCAGATACTGCGTGCCCTAAAAAACCACTGAGTCAGCTGTCGGAGAAGCGTGCTCAGCACCTCAAAGGGCACAGGTTGCAGGATCAGGCCCAAAGAGGCTTCTCTTTTGAGATGTTTGGATCTCTAATACTGTCTGGGTCACGGTTTATTGAGAAGTGCTGCTATTTCGGGGAGTTCCTCCTTCTCCCCACCCCTTTTTTCCACATTTCTGTTGAATTCATCCTCCTTTGTCATTCGGTTCACACCTTGTCATGTAGACCACAATGTAAACATCAATAACGATCAGGAAACACGCTGTACTCATCTCCATCTCGGGGAGTTAATCAACCCAGGCAAAACTGGTTGAAAGTAAAGTTAGCTCTTCAAGGTTCAGTGTGTCTACGTTCATTCTAAGGCCTTGTCTATGCTAGACTATTAGGGGAAATATCCCTCCATTGCACAGATATCACTGCACCTATTCTCTTCTATGTAAGTACTCACTCTGTGCTCACCGCCCTCGTATCTAAGCTCCAATGGTAATGTAGACAGGACTCCGACATTTTTACCACAGTTCTAGAAGAGACAGTGGTAAAAATGCTGGGGGCTTCTTGAGCCCTGTGTGCATTAATGCTCCCAATGTTGCTACTATGGATGAAGCTCCATCTGAGGTAGCACAACAGCGAGAGGTCTCCCAAAAAACATTCATATAGACACCCTTGATGGGAGCACTGCCACTTGAGTGGAAAAGAATTAAAAAAGCAAAGAATGAATCTTAAAAGATCTGTACAGTGCAAAGAATGAGCTCTTCGTTGGCCCTTAACAGATGATAACCCTAATAGCATTGTTGAACTGTTGAGTCTGAGAAGAGAGGACAAAGGGTTAAAGGAAACTCTGCAAAACACCAGAATGGCAGAAAGAGAAGGCAGACAGAACAATATAATAGGCAGCAAATTGCCTCCAAATCAGACATGGACTATGTTGACAATTGGACACTGAGTTAAAGCCTTAAACAATATTGTGAAACCCCAATGTAGGAAGAGGAGCTTAAATAATAAAGGAAAAAATAAAAGCTTCTAGTAACAATTTTTGCGACACGAAACACCTACTGGAAGAAGCAGACTAATAAACACATCTGGCATCCCTTGGTTACAAGGCAATTAAATACAAAATAGTACGTTAAAGCAAACAAAGTTTCAAGATGCCTAATTCCCTCCAGACTGTAGTGGGAAAAACAGACTTCAATGGAGTTGCACCAGAAATGTGCAGGGAGAACTTGAGCCTCAAATAGCAAAGTCTTTATCATGATAAAGCAACAGCAAATGAGAGCTCAAGCCATTGTATCCTCTGGAACATATTCCAAGCAAGAAATAAAGAAGACATCAACATAATATATTGTAAAATGCTATGTGCAGACGTACCAGTATAGCTAAAGTATCTCTTTTCACTTCCATTTTCAGTTATGTAATACTCCCCGAACAAGTTCCTTTTGGGGATGCAATTTCTCCATTACGGTCTCATGCCCAGAAGGTAATTTCTTCCATTATTGACTAGTTGGCCATTTTAGAGTTATGCAAAAATGGGTGGGCAAAAAAAAAGGGTGTGGGGAGCATTATTCAGCAGTTAAATTATTTCCCATGCTTTTTTTCTCCGCTTAAAAATATAGATTTTTATTTACTCAGTTTACTGTAACTGTAAGCCTGGTGGCTTTATATATATATAGAGAGAGAGAGATTATATAGCTTGCATTGTAAACTGTCCAGAGGGAATATGCAAAGGGGAAAAAATATAATGAGGAAAATCTGGCCCTGGGTCAGATTATATATGGACAAAGGATTAAATTTAGTAGTCACAGGCAAATAACAAGCACTACTCTATCACTGGTTACTGAGAGAATGCTGGAATTCTTACTCAGGTAGTGTTCCTGAATCAGAACCAGGAACTCCTTCTTTCTCATCAGCCTCTGACTAATAGATGTATCTAAGGTCCTATTTATTAGCTCCGTGTCTGTGCCCCTCACTACCTTTAATGTGTTTGTGCTCACAACACTCTTGTGAGCTAGGGAAGTATTCATACACATTTTACGGATGGGGGACTAAGACACAGACAGACCAAGGGCCAGATTTTCCTCATTATATTTTTTCCCCTTTGTACATTCCCTCTGGACAGTTTACAATGCAAGCTAATTGTACCTACTCAGGAGATACTGATAAGTTCAAGAAAGAAATAGACCTACATCTCACCACCTAGAAACTATTTCTTGTGGGTCATCATTGCAAAGGCATTATACCAGTAGATGCCATCTTTTTCATACTGATAGCCAAAAATTAAGGCAAAAAATAATGCGGCTTATAATTATTTATTAACCAAGCACACAGGAAGCATGAGAATGAGATGCAGAGGCAGAAAGATAGTTAATAAAACAACTCCCCTAAGAAATATACATAATGAGAACTGGCATAAAAGTTCACCGGAACAAGCCCACAAGCTTGCTAATGTTATGATGACACTAAAGCCCCAGTCATCTGTGATCATGTTTACAGTGTCAGATCTTTTAAGCGTGCCTGCAGTTGGCTTTCCTAGCCACTGGACTGGCTCCTTACCCTTTATTCACTCCAACACAGAGATTGTTCTCAACACTATCAACTTGCTAACCCCACAAAAATGTCAACCATCTCATAGTAAATTTCTTATTGATCCTCCATTGCCCCCACACACACACACACACCTTCAAGGGCTACTAAGCAGCCCAATTCGTCCCTCAGCAAAGCATTTCTGCCCCCGACTTCCCACCCCACCGCCTTGGAAAAAGGATCACTTACACCTAGCATCTGATGTAAATAGTAGTACTGTGGCCCATGGTAATACAGCAGGAAGGTTTTCCAGAAGAGCCAGACACTCAGGGAGAGCCAGAAAAGCTAAAACGAACAAAACAACAGGAAAGAATGCATGTAAGTGAAAGGCACGTGTACAATCCAGAACTTCTCAATATTTCTTTCCATCACACAGCACACATGCAATGAGCTCTCTAAGGATTTTGCCGCTGAATGAGAAAACGAGCGGAAAGACATTACAAAAACAGCCCCTGCTGGCTGTAAAACTTTTTGTTCTCAGCCAGCCTCCCAAAAGTTTGAATTCGAGGTTGAGTCCTTTAGAATCTTATGTAGCATCTTGCATGCAAACTGTCCATCAAAACTTATGGAGTTAGATACTGCTATTAAAGAGTCAAAGAATAAATACATAGCGAAAGAAAAGACAAATGATGAGACCTAAGCAAGGAAAAGCACATTTTCTGATGAGATCCATGCTTTTTCTGCCCCAACCCTGGAGAGTGGCTATAACATAGATCAAACCCGCATGCACCATGCATTGATACACACACATTCACTATCCCTTATTTATAGGGGTGCTGAAACAATTTTTGTGGTGCAGGTGCTGAGAGTCACTGAACCAGACTGTAAGCCCTGTCCTCTATATGCTGGAAACCATTTCACACCCACATAGCTACCCACGACATACAGAGACAAATCCCTGGTACACACAATGTACATTAGCCACCCAACCACACCAGACATGCGCGTGCAGATGGGACCCAGGGAACACAGGACCGTGCGATGCACACACGCGTGCAAGGTACATTTCAGGCAGGGCTGCGTGCGTGCCCACGTACACAGAGCCAGGCACGGCATGTAAGGTCCATGTGCACACACAGGCGTGCCCGGAACAAGGCAGGCGGCTCCCTGCGGCCCCGCTCCCCAGCACGCACGCGGAGCCCCGGCCGGCCGCGGTCCCCCTGCCCCCGAGAGGCTCGGAGCTCAAAGTTTCTCTGGGCGAGCGCCGTGCGCGGGGGGCTGCGCCCGGCGAGCTCCGCAGCATCCTACCAGACAGAGGTGCTTGCTCCCCTCATTGGCCAGCCAGCTGCTCCCGCACGGAGCCATGGTGCGAGCCCCGCGCCTGTGGCAGGGCTTCAGGGGCCAGCCGCTGAGCCGGTCCTGCTGCTGCTGCTGCTGCTGAGGCTCAGTCCTGCCGCTCCCCCTCCCCGCCTTCCGGCCGCCGCCCCCGTGCTCTCCCTCCCCGCGCTGCTCTGCCCCCCGGGGGGCCGGCCGGGGCAGGCTCGCGCTCAGCATGCTCGGTTGCATCTGCTGAAGCCCCTGCCCGGACTTGCCCTCGGGCCCTGCTCCCGAATGGGAGAGGAGGAAAGGGGGGAAGAAGAAGGGCAGCTGAGTGCAACTCTGAGCACTGGCCGAGAGCACAGATCACAACCCTTGAGGAAAGGGGGATGGGGAAAGTACCAATGCTGGGAGTGGGGCAGGATGTGAGCAGCGGCGGGGCACACTGCACCCAGAGGAGAGCAGAAGGCCTGGGGGGTGGAAACAGCTCCACACAGGGCTGCATGAGCCGGTTGGTCAGGAAGCTGCAGATGCACTGCCAGACAGTGGCCGGGCAGGGGAAAGGCAGGGGCGGGCGGGGGAAATTTGCTGGGAATGGGGCGAGCCTTCTGCGGGTTGTCAAAGTGAGATGGGGGTGGTGGAGGGGCTTGTGTTCCTCTCTGGATGATGCATGTCAGCATCTCTGCCCCGTAAAGGCCGAGTGCCTAGAATTCAAAGACTAAAGATCTTTGAGGATCTGGGCGCTAGGAGACTTGATGCAGTTGTAACACCTTCCTTATACACACACGTGCAAACCTGAGCGGGGCTGTGACCCCACAGGCCACTAAGATTTGGCCCAGCTGCCCCTCCATCGTGCCAGCAGGGAAGGGGCTTTGCCTTTAGCACCCAGCTCCGATCAGGGGTGAAGGATTGGGCCCTGGCCCCCTACTTCCTCCCCCCTTCATTGATTGCACTCTTGCTGAGTTCAGGTTCTCAAAAGCGCTCCCGCATTTTCAGCGCCCCATTGTGCATTAGCGAACAAAAATATATTATACATCGAAAAAACTGTTCAAAGAATGAAGCACTTGAAAGTTAGGAAATGCCAGTTTTACCATTGACGGCATGACCTTATTTCTGTCCCCTTGAATGTCCATCCTGTGCACTGAAGGACATGGGGTCCTGTGGAAAAAACAGTATGTGATCATGTGATTAAAGACTGTTGCCACAGTGCATACAGACAAGGGAGCTGAATTAAGCACTTCACGGGCAACTGTAAATCTGGAATTTCCTTACTTTTGAGGGCTTGACTTTGCAACCTAAATATCATTCTTTTAACATAGTTCTTTATGTGTATGTTTTGTTTTCTTTACAAGGTTTTTTCAAAAATCAATCAGCTGTAATATCACCCCACACAAGTCACCAGCAGAACTTGAACACAGAACCTTCAGCATTCACACACACTACTATTTTTTGAGCAACGGAAGGCTATTTTTCCTGAGTGAAGTAGGGTGATCGGGATGTGATGAGAGGAAGCCTAGCCAACCTGGCTCTTTTCCACTCGTGCCCTTAGAATTGGGGGGAAACTGCCCTACATGTTGCCCCTAGAAGGGGGAATTGGTCGCTAGAGCCATGTGCCTGGCCCAGGGAGGGTTGGGAGAAGCACAGCCCTATCTCTCTCCCCCTCTGTCTGCAGGTTGTGGGAGAGCCTGCCCCATGAGATTCCCAGAGGGGGGAAGGAATGGGGCACTGAAGTCAAATGATTGAGGGGAGAACCACACCCAACACTCTCCAGTACAGCTGCTCTGGCAGTGCAGTGGGTGCTGAGTCTGCTGCTGCTTCTTTGCCTGTGATATGAGCCCAGCCCCAGAATGCTGAGTGATTTTGGCAGCTGCTTAATTCTTAAACTGAGGTCCCGGAAGAGCAGGGCTCAGGAGGACAGCTATACTGAACAGTGCTATTGCTAAGAATGCTGGAAGCAAGCAAAAAAACCACATTTGAGGCCAGAGCAGTGATGACATCAGAAAAAAAGATGTTAACTACCTGGTTCTTTCTTCTTTTTTTTCTCTCCCCTCATTTCTGTTGGAATGTATAGAAAAATGGAAGCAATTTATAAAGAGAGCCAACAGATAAAATTTGCCCTGCACAATAATTTTAGATGTTATAGTATATGAAAATACACCTATCTCATAGAACTGGAAGGGACCTTGAAAGATCATGGAGTCCAGTCCCCTATTGTCAGTAGCAAGGCCAAGTACCATCCCTAACAGATTTTTTTGCCCCAGATCCCTAAATGGCCCCCTCAAGGATTGAACTCACAATGCTGGGTTTAGTAGGCTAATGCTCAAACCACTGAGCTATTCTCCTCCCCTTTGAATATCTGGGGAATGTTCTGAACTGAAAATAAAATTTGCAGGATGTACATTGCCTAGCACAATAGGGCCTGGTTGAGGCCTTAATCACTACCACCATAGACATAAAACAACAAATAATTTGAAGTGTTATTGCAGACCTGACAATATGCTACACAGCATGTTCTTCTTGGAGATGTCTCGGTAAATGTAGTTGATGCAGAACTTTTTCTGCCAGAAGACACACGTTTCAGTGACTGTACTGGCCACCATCTCATTTCCAGGAGTTCACTTCAGCCCTTAATAGTTTGAGTCCAGTGCTTAATGAAAGAGGTGCTGGGGCTCGAGCAATTAGGTGCCAGGGTTCAAGCAAGTTTTTTACATTCATAGCTGATGCAGCAAGCCTAGAGGTGCCAGGGCTATGAACTGCTAAGCCTAGAGGTGCTGGGGCTCACCTCTCGCAAGCCCTGGCACAAATTAAGCACTGTTTGGGTCCTAGCGGAATTACAAACTTCCCCTCTCCACATATCTACCAAATCGTTGGGAACAGCTGAGGCACGTGAGCTAACATCCCAAAAATGTACATGAGAGGAGGCAGGGTGGCATGCCATTTTCAGCTGAGAGCCCTTGACTCGAGTTTGCTCTCTCCCTTCTTCAGAAAATCTGAGTTTACGAGTGGTGTGCAGAGCCCAGCTACTATGAGAAGCTTTTCCTGAAGGGAGATCGGAGGGTTAACTGGGGAAGCAGAGAATCATCTCTTCCGACCTAAAACTCTATGAAACTATAATACAGGGTATAAAGTGATATAAATAAGTAAATGAGTGCTAATGAGGCCTCTCAAAGTTAATTTAGGGAATAAGAGCGCTGTCTTATTTAATATATTTTGTTATATATTTAGCTCTTTATTTAATATATTTTGTGACATGTATTTAAAGTTGACGCTCGCTCATCCTCACCACACTGTCCTAAACGCACGGTGGCTCTTCTCCCGTTTTCATACTGTTCCACCTCATCCATTGTCTAACTAGGTGTGTTGGTTGGAATAAACTGGATGGAGCATTGTATTCAATGCAGTACTCTTCTTCCTTCAAACACTCTATGATGAGACTGTTTCTTCTAGATTAGTAACACTAAACCTAAATCCACCATCCAAGTCTACTGTTATTCTAGTCTCTCTCCATGATACTCATGACCCCCTACACCAAAGTACCTGAGCACCACACAGTCTTTAACATATTTAGCCTCACAACACCCCTTGAAGTAGGGAAGTGCTGTTACAGATTGGGAAGGTACAGGGAGACTAATGGTAAACTTTTTGAAAGCACCTACAGCCCAGATTCACAAAGCTGTTTAGGTTCCCAATGTCCATTGAAATCAATGGATGTTAGGAGCCTAAATATCTTTGTGTATCTAGGCCTAGATGACTTAAGAGCCTAAGTTTCATTGACTTTCAATGGGGCTTAGGCTCCTATGTCACATAGACGCTTTTGAAAATTTTACCTTACATGATTTGTGCAAGGTCACACAGAAAGCGTGGTAAAGCAGGGAATTGAACTCTAGTCGTTCACATCCCAGGCAAATAGGCCACACTTCCCCTACTACTACTACTCTTTGAAAATAGCAAAGTAACAATGACAGCTAGTTACTTGGACTTTG